CACCAATTAGAGGTAGAGCATGATGGACACCTTTTAGTTTTCACTGCTGGGTCAGAAAGACTTCCTCATAGGGCCATCATTGTAGTACAGTGGGTTAAACTGCCATTCATACAACTGCTCCCAATAGCAGAGTGCCCGTTCAACTCATGGCTACTCCACTTCCAATGAAGCTTCCTGATCAGGCACAAGTACTTGGGCCACTACCAACCATGTAAGAGGTAAGGATGGAGTTCCTGGCTTCTGGCTTCAGGTTGGCTCAGCCCTGGCTCAGACCTGGCAAGGAGTGAACCAGTGGATGGAAGATCTCTGTTCCTGCACTTTCTCATTGTCCCTGTCATTCTGTCTCTGTCAAACATATAAATATATCTTTAAGAAAATTAAAAAAAAAAAAAACAGATTTCCTCAGGTAAGAGAAAATTTCAGAGTGCTTAGGAAGTCATCCATGCCCCCTGAAGTAGCCTCAATCTAATGGTGGAAATTTCATTTTTTCTCAAGCAGTCACCTAACTTTCACATAAAATATCTGAAGAGGATTCAAACGTTATACCACAAATTTCAAATACCTATTCAAACTGTAGGAAGAATAACCTGCTTTAGAGAAACAAGAATTCCAAAAATGGTGGTCCCACCTCTCCTTGGGTACCTTATACAGTTCTATTCCTAGTGTGGTAGATGAGGTGGGAGCCAGACCTCCTATTGAACTCCCACTCTACACTAACAACTTGACACTCATGACATTTAGTTAGAATATCCTGAACCTCATTATCAATAAACTTAAGGGAATCATTAATAAGTAAAAGGGGCCGGCGCTGAGGTTCAACAGGCTAATCCTCCGCCTGGGGCACTGGCACACCTGGTTCTAGTCCCAGTCTGGGCACCTGATTCTGTCCCGGTTGCCCCTCTTCCAGTCCAGCTCTCTGCTGTGGCCCAGGAGTGAAGTGGAGGATGGCCCAGGTCCTTGGGCCCTGCACCCGCATGAGAGACCAGGAGAAGCACCTGGCTCCTGGCTTCGGATCAGCGTGGTGCACCGGCCGCAGCGCGCCGGCCGCAGTGGCCATTGGAGGGTGAACCAACGGTAAAGGAAGACCTTTCTCTCTGTCTCTCTCTCTCTCACTGTCCACTCTGCCTGTCAAAAAATAAGTAAAGGGAAAGCAACAGTCAAGAGCATCACACAGGTCACTGGCTGCAGATGCCCCAAGGCAGGAGCTTAGAGAGTGTGCTGAAACTATAATTATGTTGCTGTGGGACTATTCAGCATGGAGAACGAGGACACAAACTCTGCGACCAGACTGTAGATTAAATTTAGGTTCCTGTCACTGATTTCCTGTGAGTCATGAGCAAATCCCTTTCTCCTCATCCATAAAATGGGAATGATAATATAACATCTCAGAACACAATTTTAAAATTCAAGGAGGCAATGCTTTGCATATCAAAAGTATTCAATAAATGTTAGCACTGCCTTCTCCCCTTCTCCCAAAATGTAAATTTTGGTATTCAGCTATGGTAGATGGCCCCCAGCAATGGCTCTGCTGCCTGTCTACCAAATGCCAGTGGAGAGAAGACCAAATGACTACTTAGGAACCTCTGCAGAGGCAAAGGAACAGCCCAATTATCTTATATTCAGAACAAAGAGAGCTTTGAGTCCCAAAGCATCCTTAACAAGACACAAAGCAGAGGGCATCCATGGAGAAGAGGAAGCATCCAGAATGTTCTCATAGAACAACAGATGAGCCTTTAGGGTACGTCCTCAACATTATCCACCAAGCAGCTGCCTTTATTATTTCTTCTGGAGTCATTGTTTTTAACTGACTAAAGGACATAAATGGTTCCAGATGCAAGGATATGGATATTGATCTCTTAAAGGCAGCCTCGCCAGCACTAGGAATTGTTATGCTTAGGGTGTTCTCTGGGTTCCCACAGATTCCACCTGCCTCATCAATATTCCACTCAGAACTGCTCTCCTTCCCCAGGGCCAGCTCCTAGACTTTCCACACATGCTTAAGGCTCTTTTGGAAAAAGGAAGGTGGAAAAGAAAGGGGGAAAATCCAGCTACAAATGTCAGGAAGGAAAGATGATGAAGCAAGGAAACTCACTACAGATAGGATTTGGAAAACAAACAAACAAACAAACAAAACATGGCTCAAGGGGGCAAGAGAAAGAAAGGAATGTTTTTTCCTTTAAGTCGGGTCATGTCAGACTATCACAGAATCTTCTGAATCACAAACACAACTGCATTGTGGTCAGCGTTCCTACAGAGTGAATCCATGCCCCTCTCCCAGAAATGGCCAGCTTGGATTTTTTTTCTTCTTCTTCTTTTTTAGCATGTAATTCTATGAATCCTGTTCAACATGTGTTCATCTGTCACAGGGTAGGTTTTTTGGCCCTTATGCCAGTCTGAATTCTAGGATGTACAGGAGAGAAAGTCTCAAATTCACTGAACTCATGAAAAATGCACTATTCTTTCAACTTCTCAAAATTTGTGAGGAGTGGGGAAACAACATGTATGTGATAAAAACAGACTCCTATTAAGGATCATGACTACACTGTACTTCAAAGAGCCTGAAACACAGAAACCCATGCACACTGTGTACGCACTTCCTATTGCTACTGTTAACCACGGCCACACATTTAATGGCTTAAAGCAGTACAAATTTATTTCTTATGGTTCCAGAAGTCAGAAGTCTAAAATCAAAGTTTAGACACGGTGGGGGAAGATCTATTTTCTTATCTTTTCCAACTTCTAGAGGCCACCTGTATCCTTCTGCTCTGAACATCCTTCCTCCATCTTCAAAGCACATCACTAAGATCTCTGGCGTCACATTTCAATTTTCGGTTTGTCATTTGTGTCGCCCACTTCTGAATATTCTTGCGCTTTCATGAGGCCCTGATAACATAATTGAAGATAAAATATTTCTACCCCAAGGTCATTAGCTTACTCACATCTGCAAAGTCTATCTTGCCATGTTAAGTCACATGACCATAGGTTCCAGCAATTAGGACACAACTTAGGGGGACCTTATTTTGTCTATCATACCCTGATCACACGCTTCTCTGTACTATGTGCAGACAACTTTGATTTCATTTAATTCATTATTTCATATATAATATGTACCTGTAAACATGTATAAGTACATGTATGAAAATCAAATATTTAACAACATAATAAGAAAGGGAGAGCTTAATCTGGTCCCTGAAAACTTAAAAAGAGAGAAAATAGAATCTGTAGTTATATCATATTTTCTGTACTTACTTTTCAATTATTTAAGTCTAGAATTAAATACACTAACTTTTTTTCTCCCTACAATTGATTGGCTAAATCTCGTAAGCATCTGATTGAGACTAAAGATATCTATTGATAAATTAAATTATACATTAAATTAATTTTATAATGCTAATTTTATTTTTCAATTTTCCTTTTATGTAAAAGTACTTAAAAGACTATACAAATAATTTTATAGAGTCTATTACTGCTGAAAATTGAAGTACTAATAAAACAAAACTGATATGTTTTAAAATTTCTGTTCTCCATAGTGGATTAAAGCCCAAAATCAGTGTATGAAATGCACATTAGGAATATCAATTTCGATGAGTTAAAATTATAGGATTTGCTGGCGCTGCAGCTCACTAGGCTAATCCTCTGCCTTGCGGCGCTGGCACACCAGGTTCTAGTCCTGGTCAGGACACCGGATTCTGTCCCGGTTGCCCCTCTTCCAGGCCAGCTCTCTGCTGTGGCCCGGGAGTGCAGTGGAGGATGGCCCATGTGCTTGGGCCCTGCACCCCATGGGAGACCAGGATAAGTACCTGGCTCCTGCCATCAGATCAGCATGGTGCACCGGCCGCAGCGCTCCAGCCGCGGCGGCCATTGGAGGGTGAACCAACGGCAAAGGAAGACCTTTCTCTCTGTCTCTCTCTCTCTCACTGTCCATTCTGCCTGTCAAAAAATAAATAAAAAAATTATAGGATTTTGTAAATATGATTAGAATCTGCATAGATACAACAGTACTGGGTGCAGGCATTGTGGTGTAGCCCAAATCCCATATTGGAGTGTTGGTTTAAGTTCCAGTTACTTCACTTTTGATCCAGCTTCCTGATAATACCTGGGAGGCAGCAGATGATGGCTGGAGTACTTGGGTCCCTGCTACTCATGTGGGAACCCAGAGGAGTTCCTGACTCCTAGTTTCAGCCTGGCCTAGCCCCATGCTTTTGGGTAGTGAACCAGTAGATAAAAGATCTCTCCTTTTCTCTCTCTCTCTCTCTCTCTTTCTCTCTCTCTCCTCCTTTTCTCTGTCAGTCTATCTTTCAAATAGATGAGATGATAAACAAATCTTAAAAAAAATTACAGTTGCTTAAAAAAAAGAAGAAAGAGAGCTAAAGTAAGTTTTTTGTTGGTTTAGTTTGGTTTATTCTCCCTTATTGGCCAGAAAGTCATAGAAAACATTACTTCTTTTCTGTATCAATAGGTCTAATCTTGGACTGGGTTCGTGCACACATTCATCAGGAAAACAATTTAAAATAGTATTTCCTTGTACTATAAGAGAAATAATTTGACAAAAATTGATATTAGTATGTGTTCTCAAAATAGTCTATTTTTGTTTTGTTTTGTTTTGTTTTGTTTTGTTTTGTAGCAAAGATGGGACATTAAATAGAGTTTAGATACTGCTTGGGCAAAATGTACGTGCTTTATTAGAACACAGATAGTAAACATATCCTCACACTATTTTAAATAATCTGTCCTTTGCATGTAACTATAAAAGGGTCATATAAATAGCACTTACCTCAAGGAATGGATTGCATGAGATTTTATATATATATATATATATATATATGTATGTATATATATATATGAAATTCAGAGCCAGCATATAGTAAACTAGTAAACATTCAATAAATATTAGCTATGGTTTATTAATAAATAATAAAAAGGTCACACTTGTGGGAGAAATATTGACACTGTTCTTTGTAAGTCCTCTAGTTGCCATGCACTTCTGTTTGAGGCATTACCTGGCCCACCATTGTTTCCCAGCAGGGTCCTCGAGGTACATCTGCAGGGTGAACAAAAAAGGGTGGCCCAGTGCTATTCCCAGAGAGTGATGCGTTGTAGGCCTTGATCATGTTGGCTTCCCATAGGGTAATATTGGCCTTTACTAGCTTCTCCTCTTCAATCTAGAAAGTAAACAAATGGAAATGAAAATGAAGTCAAAATTTTTCAAAGGCATTTCAGACAATCTTGAGACTTAGAATTTAAAAATATGCTTATGACAAAGACAATCCAGACACAAAGTTTACCTTGTTGTTAATCTCATCCATCAAGGCAAGAATAAATACATACAAGTTGCCTAAAAGAAGAGCAAAAATGCGTCCCAATAGCCACTTCAGAGCAATGAGAGGATGATAGTCTTCCAGTTCAGCAAATAAGTCAAACAGTGTTGGGCAGAACATCCCCAGGAGGGACATAACCATGTTCATCTACAGAGACAGAAGCAATGAACCAGGTTAATAGTGCTTAAAAATTGCTATTGTTTTACTCCAGAATTTTGGAAGATCCTCATTGAGGTTCCTTTTATCTTTTCTAAGACTAAAGAAGACTAGTCCATGCACTTTAGATTTTTATATTAATAAAACAGCAAAGATAATATCAACTCCTCATTCTCAAGAATACATGTGTGTGAGCTTGTGTAGGTACCAGCAATAATTGTTTACTGGTGTAATGAGAGATGAAATTTATATCACTTTACTGAGAGAACACATATTATTCTACATGGTAACTTATTTGGATATGATGATGCACTTCACAGCAAGATCTCCAAAGGAAATGGAAAATGATCTGGTTGAGGATGAGGTACAAATTTAAAAATGCTATTTTGAGTCTTCAGCATATGGGTTAGTTTAATTAACTAAAAAATGATTAATTGCCTAAGGTGAGCCCAGGCCTAAATACCAAATCTTGAGGAATCCAAACTTTTAGTGACAGAAAGGAATAGAATGGAATTATCTAAAGACAACATAAGATATTAATTGAAATAGATAGAGGATAAATAGCATAATACTATGAAGCCCAGGGAGGAAAATTTCAAAAATGAAATACTGGTCCACAAGGACAATGATAAAGAGAATGATATGGGGCTGGAGGTGGGAATATGAAAATTAGGAAGTGTGTCACTCTTGACTCCTGGCTGTACAGCATCCATAAAACATTGTTACCATGTGGAATTAAATCAAAGAATCCAGAACATTCACAACTTTTATAATGGGGAAAAAAAGATGTCAGGAAAGTCTGATGACTGTCCCAAATAACTGACTCACCACCAAACATTTGCTACTTACCCGATGGACCTCATGTTTTGAATGAAACATGATTATACCTACCAGATTATATTTAGAAAATAATTGCAAATATGTTTTTTTCATTTTTATTAAGGACATTATATGACTCGCAGGAGCCAAAACTCAGTATTACATAATATAATTACATGATATAATTCCAGACTAATGCAGAAACTTGGCGGATCCTGTGTAATATTATACAAGATATATCTAAATTCTGTTTCATCAAATTTCTAAAATTATTTAGGAATACCCATTGTTAACTTCATTGGGCCCCTTAGGACTCAGGAGTCCCCTAGAATAGCTGTTAAACAGGTTCTTACAAAGAATGATCCTTGATGCTAATGAAGAATGCATCCTTTAATATGGTTTATTTATGTAAAATACAATCAATATAAACTATAGATCCCAGGTATATGAAAATTTTTCCTATACATTATACTTTCACAATTGTAAAAGAGAGTTTTGAAAGTAAATTTAGTAAATGCTTGAGGTGTTCTTTTTTTTTTTCAATAAAATATCTCTACCTAATGATTCTATATTACAAGTTTCTAAGAAATGTCTGTGATTTTATGTTCTCTTGAATGGATAGTCTCCTTCTCTATTGTTAACACTTCCTAAATATATCAAACATTTTTATTTGGAGACTTGGTAAGTAAATTATATCATTTGCTAAGATTTTTCTAGAAAATTCTATGCTTATGAAGACTTAATTTTTTTTTTTTTGGTCTACAAGACTCTGTAGAAACTTCAGTATGTTAAGTCTAAATATGCACATTCTTTGAGAATGCCCAAGTTCAAAATGATGTCTTATTGTATGTATTTATGTAAAAGAACGGGCCTTAGCAACATATCATGTCCAGTAATTTCTTAATTTTTTTTGACAGGCAGAGTTAGACAGTAAGAGACACAAAGGTCTCCCTTCCATTGGTTCACCCCACCAAATGGCTGCTATGGCCAGCACGCTGTGCCAATCTGAAGCCAGGAGCCAGGTGTCTCCTCCTGGTCCCATGCGGGTGCAGGGCCCAAGCACTTGGGCCATCCTCCACTGCCTTCCCGGGCCACAGCAGAGAGCTGGACTGGAAAAGGAGCAACTGGGACAGAACTGGCGCCCCAACCAGTAATTTCTTGATTCTAAATGCTTACCTCTAACCACCTTAAAAAAAATGGTGCATTTATTTGAAAGTCAGAGTTAGAGAGAGGGATGCACAGAGAGATTTCTTCCAGATGGATTCACTGCCCAGATGGCCACAACAGCCAGCTCTGGGGCAGGCCATAGCCAGGATCCAGGAGCTCCTTTCAAGTCTCCTACATGGATGGCAGGGGCCCAAGTACTTGGGTCATCTTCCACCTCTTTTCCCAGGTCATCAGTAGGGAGCTGGATCAGAAACGGAGCAGCTGGGACTTGAATTGGTGCTCATACAGGATGCTGGTGATGCAGGCTGCAGCCTTACCCGATACGTCACCATGCTGGCCTTTAACCTCCTCTCTCTGATACACTAAATGGGCAGATAAACATCTGGAGACAAATAACAGTCTAATATTTAATTTCTGGAAAACAGCTGGCCTTCCTCATTCAAATAGCCTTTGCAAGGAGAGAAAGAAAGGCAAGGGAATCAAGATGTGTGAAGCTTGGCTTCTAGTGAATAACAGGGAAGCCTACACTTGCCAAAACTTGAGGAAGCAATCTGAATGCTTCCATTTTATGACCAGTGGCTTCAAAAGTATACAGGCTGCAATTGGGTCTTTCAGTGACAGATGTGAGATTTACAATAGAGCAAGCCTCATGACACCTTGTAAAGAGCCTTGGACTTGAAATTAAGACACTGAGGTTCTCACCCAGAGTCTTCTCCTCACTCTTTTATCATAAATATACCACCCAAGCTCATGAGAGGCACCAATCCCATCTATAAAGTGAATGTTTGGGGCCAGCGATGCAGTTCACTTAGCTAATCCTCTGCTTGCGGCACCAGCACCCCGGGTTCTAGCTCCGGTTGGGGTGCCAGATTCTGTCCCTTTTGCTCCTCTTCCAGTCCAGCTCTCTGCTGTGGCCTGGGAGTGCAGTGTAGGATCGCCCAAGTCCTTGGGCCCTGCACCTGCATGGGAGACCAGGAGGAAGCACCTGGCTCCTGGCTTCGGATTGGCACAGTGTGCCAGCCGCAACACACAGGCTGTAGCGGCCACTTGGGGGGTGAACCAACAGCAAAAAGGAAGACCTTTCTCTCCGTCTCTCTCTCACTGTCTAACTCTGCCTGTCAAAAATAAATAAATAAATAAAATTAAAAAAATAAAATGAATAGTTGGCGTATATATTTTCTAATCTTCTAACTTTCCACCATCTTATTTAACATGGAAAACAAACCAACAGAGCAGATGTGAAATAAGGCTGGGATAGAAAGGAAAATGTGCTCCAGGGTTGGCTCATTCTAAGGATGGGATGGGGGGCTAGGCAGAGTGGCCTACATGATGTTTCACCATAGAAGCACTATAGCAAAGGTCAGATTCTAAGCACATAAAAATGCAGAGACGAACTTCATTTTTTTCCCACCACCCAAGGGTGTCAGGATCCTGCTGTGCAAATTCTTGGGATCGCTTCACAGCCCAAAAGATGAGGTATCCACTCGCACCAAGTGTTAGGAACACGAAGAAGTTAGCAAGAAATCTCAGGAATCTGATCAAGTGGACGTTTTCTTCTACTTGAGCAGCTCTTTCTTCTATTATAGCTTCCTACACTCGGGCAAACAAAACAGAAGATAGCTTAGCTACAAAAGGTATATGAGCTCAGGAAGGTGAGAAATAAAAATTTAAACCAAATCTGGGGTTCCACAAACCAGGAATACACTGCCAATTAAGTCACAGCAAATGAGAGAAAGGAAGAAATCTTGCCAGCAAACTCTGACTCATGTAATAACAGCCCATTGTTCACGACAAAACATATTCTCTTCAAGAACACTGTTTTAAAGCTACAAAATAATACAGTAGAGGCATTTAAAATATAGAGCTAACTTATTCTTCTTAACCATCAGTGAACATTGTTTTATTATTTAAAATATCTGATTCTAATTATGGATGGCCTCTTGTTACATACAAGTAGCATTATTTTATTACCAAATTTAGAGAAGAAAAATCCTCAAGGAATAAAATTGCTGTCTTGACTCATTGGATATTTTCCAGTCATAAACAGAACTGTGCCCCAAATCCCAGTACACAGAAATAATGAGTTAATCTTCTATCACTAGCTAGACCACACATAATGTCTACAATTTTATGCTTACAAAGAACAGAATTACAAAGTTTCTGTCTTTACCTTAAAGTTCATTGTGATAGAATTAAATTTGTTGTCTGCTGTCTCAGGGTTGCCAATCAGGTAGTCCCAGCTACAGAACACCTTCCAGCTAAAGTTGAAGGTGTTGTCATCACCACCTCCATCGTCACCAATATTTTTGGTCATCCTGTGAAGACAAGATGTTTAACCCAGCAGCTAGAATACATAAGAAGGGAAGGAGGTAGGGAGTGACAAAACAGCATAATTATAGGTAAACTGTAGAAGCAATATCTGAAAGACATATATTTCCCTCCAAGTTTGTTCTAATAAACAACTAGGAGTTTTTTGTTTTTTTTTTTTTTTTTTTTTTTTTTTTTTTGACAGGCAGAGTGGACAGTGAGAGAGAGAGACAGAGAGAAAGGTCTTCCTTTTGCCGTTGGTTCACCCTTCAATGGCCGCTGTGGCCGGCGCGCTGCGGCCTGCACACCGCGCTGATGATGGCAGGAGCCAGGTACTTATCCTGGTCTCCCATGGGGTGCAGGGCCCAAGCACTTGGGCCATCCTCCACTGCACTCCCTGGCCACAGCAGAGAGCTGGCCTGGAAGGGGGGCAACCGGGACAGAATCCGGCGCCCCGACTGGGACTAGAACCCGGTGTGCCGGGGCCGCAAGGCAGAGGATTAGCCTAGTGAGCCGTGGCGCCAGCTAGGAGTTGCATTTTTAAATTTCATTTTTGTTTAATTTTAAACAGTCATTTTTCCAGGCTTTCCTGAGTAAGATTACTAAGCACTGATGATTTTGATGAACAAAATCATTCGTTTTCTTAAAATGTTTCATTTTCATTCACTTTCTTAAAATAAGACATTAATGTTCTATAATAGGCTCTTAACATTTTGTGGGTTAAAGACACCTTTAAGAATGTGATGAAAACCATTGATTCCCTTTCTAGGGGATAAATGTGGAGATTTTTACACTATTCCATACAACTTTAGTTGCTTCTTATACCTCAAAGACTAAGTAAGGACTAACCCAGGTAAAGAAACTATCATGCACATTTTAATCCCTCTTAGAAATGCCTCCCTAGAAGCAGTTATATTGAATGCATTAAATTTCACTATATTCTCCAACTCTTGACCAAAAATCAAGATTTTTTTATACAATCTTAACAACAAGTGGTAACATATACTCTAAGAAGTGATTTTTTTTTTTTTTTTTTTTTTTTGGCTAGGAGAGTTTAAAATTCATTTAGGCTTATTTTAGTGGTTAGAAATCCATATATATATATATGGTACCATTTATGTTTTTACCTAAGATTTTTATATGGAATTTTTTGCCTTAGAACACAAGTTTGTAGCTCCATTTTTTTTTTAAAGATTTATTTATTTGAAAGTCAGAGTTACACAGAGGGGAGAGGCAGAGAGAGAGAGAGAGAGAGGTCTTCCATCCAATGGCCCACTCCCCAATCGGCCACAATGGCAGGAACTGCGCCAATCCTAAGCAGGAGCCAGGAGCTTCCTCTGGGTCCCCCATGAGGGTGCAGGGGCCCAAGGACTTGGGCCATCTTCCACTGCTTTCCCAGGCCACAGCAGAGAGCTCGATTGGAATTGGAGCAGCCGGATCCCAAACAGGCGCCCATAAGGGATGCTGGCACCACAGGCCAGGGCTTTAACCCACTGAGCCACAGTGCTGGCCCCTGTAGCTCCATTTACACACTGAAATTATTTAGGTATTTGATGAGTGCATGCAGAGGATTTTAATAACTCGAATCAATACCTTCATAAACTTTAAATCAACAGGGTCACTATAACATAGCTGCTTGAAAAATAAAACAAAGAACAGTATTGAAAGGGAAATAAAAAACAACTTTCTAATAGCTCACAGGACAAGCCCACTACACATAAAAAGGAACTATTTTATAAGAATGTCAGCCAGCACATGCTACATTATTAAGAAAGAAGAAACCACAGCAAATGTTTGACTACAAAGGATAACACAAAAATACAAATTCATAGTACATTGGCTACAACCATTGGCCATTTCTTTGTTTAAAATCTGTTCCCTCAAGTGAGCACTGTGAGATCAAGGGCTTTATCTTGTTTTGTTTCACCATTAAAACCCCAAGTACATTGGGGCCAGCATTGTATCATAAAGGGTTAAGCCACCACCTGCCACGTGGCATCCTATATGAGTGCCCTTTAAGACTCAGATGCTTCACTTCTTATCCAGCTCCTTGTTAATGCACCTGGGGAAAGCAGTGAGCAATGGCTTTCAAGTCCTAGGGCCCCTGCACCCAAGTGGGAGTTTTGGCTCCTGGCCCCTGACTTCGGCCTATTCCAGTCCTGGCTATTGCAGCCATTTGGGAAGTGAACCAGCCAATGGAAGATCTCTCTTTATATTTCTACCTCTCTTTTTCTATAACTGTGCCTTTCAAAGAAATAAAACAAATCTTTAAAATAATAATAAAAAAACAGGCACTAGAGGGTTTCCTAGATTGCCCACAGTAAGTACTCCATAAATAGTTATGAAATGAGCGAACAAATACCTGAAATGTCATTCTGGAAGTAAATTTATCACCAGAAAGAGCCTCACCAAATAAATATAGATAGCATAAATCAGCTTTGTATGGTACAACACATATCAAATATGCTTATTACGCTACCTGTGTTCAATTCTGTCCTTGTCATTATGATAGGTTTTGACAACATCATCTCACTTTGTAATTGTTGCCATTTAGCCTGGACCATTACTGTCCCTAGCCCATGGAAAATTTTTCATGTTGAATTTTATAATCATAAATGCAGTTCATAAAGCAGTAATATAGGATGGAACATTGTGACTATAAGTCCTCCATCCCTCACTGCTTTTCTGCTCCAAACATCTTTTGAAAGAAGGCCAACTATAGTTTGAGGAAAAGGAGGCAATGATATGCTATGTAGGATTTGTTAGGACATTGTGCTGGGCAAGACAGCCCAAATTCCCTTTCCTGGCCTACTGTAGTATCTAAACTCCATCATCAGAGACATCAGACACAGTCATCTTCAATACAAATATCTCTGAGAAATAGTTTTAGACTAGGGTCTACCCTGAGCCCTGATTGCTCTTCTCTAATTAGATCAGAAAGATTCCTTCAACAAAGTTTAATTAGGGGTGAGAATTGGGGGAAGGCAGGATGAACCATTTTGATGCTAAGATCCCATGGACACATGTCAAAAGACATAGAAGACATTTAGGCAGTATATCATGTAGGTCACTGCTGCCTGAATAAGCAGGTACCAATGCAGGAAAAAGAAAGTGGACAGGGACACTGACAATCTACGTAGAAGGGAAAAAATAACTTCATATTCTTAGAACTGGTATACAAGCCGGCGCCGTGGCTCAATAGGCTAATCCTCCACCTTGCGGCGCCGGCACACCGGGTTCTAGTCCCGGTTGGGGCGCCGGATTCTGTCCCGGTTGCCCCTCTTCCAGGCCAGCTCTCTGCTGTGGCCAGGGAGTGCAGTGGAGGATGGCCCAGGTGCTTGGGCCCTGCACCCCATGGGAGACCAGGAAAAGCACCTGGATCCTGGCTCCTGCCATCGGATCAGCGCGGTGCGCTGGCTGCAGCGGCTGCCATTGGAGGGTGAACCAACGGCAAAGGAAGACCTTTCTCTCTCTGTCTCTCTCTCTCACTGTCCACTCTGCCTGTCCAAAAAAAAAAAAAAAAAAACTGGTATACAAAGTTGGTCATGCTTCTAATGGAATGTTGAAATATTCAAGTGTCTTGTAAGACAGACTTGATAGTTTTAATTTTTCAGAACATTTTGGCAACATGAGTCAAATCAAGGCCATTATAACTCCATTAGACAAGGGAAAATTTTAATGTAGAATAAAAAAATTAAAAAGGCTACCCAGGACAAACTAGAGACAGGTCCTTACCATCATTAACACAGATGAATCTTTGTCATACATTAGGAACAATAAGTGTTGGAATCAGAAGATGATGCTCAAACATCAGTTCTGCAATTTACTGGCTATTTAAACTTAGTCAAATCATCAGACTTTGCTAAACATTAATTTCTCCATCCATCCAATAAGAATAATTAATCCCTATTCAACCCAGTATACAAAATTGATGGGATGAACAAATTGATCTATGTAAGGAGATGCACAATACGGAGAGATGACAGTCGATGATAAGTGTAAGATACCTTTCAAACTAGAAAAATCTAGGATTGTGTAGGTACTATTGTCAAATGAGCATGTCATATAGTATAGTAATATTTAATTGCTAAAGATAATATAATTTAGGCCAGCACCGTGGCTCAATAGGCTAATCCTCCTCCTGCAGTGCCGGCATCCTGGGTTCTAGTCCCAGTTGGGGTGCCGGATTCTGTCCCGGTTGCCCCTCTTCCAGTCCAGCTCTCTGCTGTGGCCCAGGAAGGCAGTGGAGGATGGCCCAGGTTCTTGGGCCCTGCACCCACGTGGGAGACCAGGAGGAAGCACCTGGCTTCTGGCTTCAGATCGACGCAGCGCGCCAGCCATAGTGGCCATTTTGGGGGGTGAACCAACGGAAGGAAGACCTTTCTCTCTGTCTCTCTCTCTCACTGTCTAACTCTGCCTGTCAAATAAATAAATAAATAAATTAAAAGATAATATAATTTAAACAACATGATAGATGCTTAGTGAATGCTATTTACCATCATTAACAATAAATTTATTTTTTTATTTAACATAAAGTTAGATTCATTTCTGTTTTTGCCAAGAATAAAAATATTTATATGCATGTGTTAAAGCTGGCTTATGGTACATGGTACATTTAAGTTATAGTATATAAATGTATACATATATATGATAGCTTATGTAGACAATATTTTTGACACCAGTTGAGAGTTATATATGGCACATCATTTATGTATTCAAAAATATTATTAGGCTATTATTACTATGACCAGGCTCATAAATAAAAAATAATATCTAATCCCAGGGAACCATGCAACAGGGAAAAGTCTTAGAAAGGCCTACTGGGATAAGATAAATGGCAAGAGGTTTCTCTATAAAGCATGCATCCCATGAATAATTACTATTTATAGTAGTATAGCTGTAATATACATTAGTGAAACCCAAAATATTTAAGTAGAGAATTGTTTGTAGTGGGAAAAGCTGGGTGTCGAAATAAAACCACCTTTACTTTGGGATATTAAAGTTCAAACTGATGAGGACAACATATGAAGGAACTGATGGTTTCCATGTCATGTGACTTTCTAACAATATATTATGTTAATGTGTTTTTAATACACACACAACTGTTTATTATCAATTTCTAAGCATCTGATATGGTTAGGAATATACTGACCCGGAAAGAAAAAGAAAGGAGGAAAGGAAAGGAGGGGAGGAGCAGAGCAGAGCAGAGCAGAGCAGGACAAGAAAGGAAAGGGAAGGAAAGGAAGGGAAGGGGAGGGAAGGGGAGGGAGAGGAGGGGAGGGGAGGGAAAGGAAAGTCTTAAAACAAGGACAAATTTTCCTGTCTTTCCAGGAACTAAGCAGATTCCCAGGGCAGAAGACTTCCTGCACTAAACTGAAACAGCGCTAAAACCAACAAAGTCAGTCGTCCTATCTTAATACCTTGAAGTGTTTGGGTTTCTATCTCATTTTACCTTCTAACTTCCCTATTAGACAATTAAAAGTAGATATTTGCCCCTATCTTGTGAATGTGGATGCTGAGGCTAGCAGTACTGGCAAGATATCAAAGGCCTCATGGAGCTTAGTTGATTTTTGATTTTAGAACTCCAGTTCCCATCTATTCAATTTGAGGAATGGATGCCATAAATCCACTCATATTTATTCTAAGAGCATATTTCATTGGAGTAGGGGGAGAGGGGTGAGAACAGATGATTAATAATTCTGTACAATCATTTATATCTTACCAATTCTTATTATTGGTAAGTATTGGCCCCAGGGTTGGGAGTGGGGTGGGAGTCATGAATAGCTTTTGAATTTCCATGCTTTATGGGCCAATAAGCTTAAACTACCTGCTAATCAGGTGATGTGTTACCAAAGGCCTATACCAAAGGTGGGGCCCAAGACAGGCTCCTTTGATTGGCATAACATGATGACTTTGAGGAGGAAAATGTGCATTTATTGCCTTGTAGCTATCCTAAATGGTACCTTTAAGCAGATTTCCAAAAGCCACCACATCCTGTATTGCTGCTCTATTTAGTGTGGTCACCACTGACAACCTGTGGTTACTCAGCACGGGAAATGTGGCTAGTGTAATGCACACCAGATTTCAAGAATCTACTACCCTAAAACAGAGAATATCTTGGTAACAATTTTATATTGGTTAAATGTAGAACTAATAATATTCTTGATGTTGGGGATTGATTGACTTATATTAATAAAAGTACTTTCACCTGTTTATTTTTATATGACTACTAGAACTATGTATATACCTTTATTTGTACAGCACTACTCTAGCTACTTTATATTCATCTTCCAGAAAGCCATTTGATTAAATATACAAATCTATTCATGTACAATTGTGTAACCACAAGTGATTGCCCTGCATGCTGGCTTTGTTTGGTTCTTTTAGAAGCCTATAGCCCTAAAAAAGTAATTAATGTTTTTTAGAAACTTTTTTCATGGTAGGCATATCCCAAGTGCTCTATATGTATTAATTCATTTTAGTCTTCACACCTATTACACCTTTACCAGAGACAGGAAACAGGAGGACAGACCAATTGAGCCATTTATCTGTGGTTGTAGAAAGACACCCACGTCAGAGCTGACTTTGGAAACTAGGCAGAATGGTTCAAGGGTACCCCAGGGTACATAGTCTTTCCAGAGTCACCGAAAGCTGAGTAATTGGACATTGACATTATTTCTCAGTGACCACAAAGACCAAAGACACAACAAAGAAATGATATCAGTGACCTCAGTAACAGAAATGGTACCTCTGACTTTACTTCAAGCAAAGTAATATGTTCAAAAGTCTAGAAGATGTCTCAGATTTATGGGATGTATTAGTACTTTATCAGATGGACAGATACTTTATGTCTGGGATCTCATTACAGTTACACAGGTGCATGAGTATTTTGGATATGGTGGTCTCCAATAAGGCTTTTTCCAAGCCCTGAAATAGGTTGCAAACTAAATATGACAGTTTTCTCTGGAGGATCAGCAAGTGAGGCAGGGACAAGACACAAAGCATATCTGAGACTACTCAAGAAAGCTCCTGCTTCCAGTGACTGCATGCTTTACCTCACTTAGAACCCTCGGGCAGGCAACCTTCTGCAATGAGGCAAGGGTCTCCCCTTGTCATGGTCAAATAAATGATGCAGATACTTGAGATGTTTCAACTCTTCCTAAGCTAGTTCAGAAAACTTGCTCAATGATTGTTTCATAGCCTCAACAACAGTGCTAAATTTCTGCAATATCTTTAAGTGGAGTATTATAAATATATTTCAGGCAAGGAGGGAAAATTGAACTGCAGTTTTACCATTTCCCCAATGAAATACTTCCATATACTCTAATAAATCTTTTCCCAAGAAAAACCACAATTATACAGTCTATCATTACTATCTTATTGGGGGCCATTTGTTCTTGCTGTCTCACACAGCTAGCACTTTTTAGATGAGTGATTATTCTGATTTTTTAAAATATGAATAGAAAACAACAGAATCTGCGTAATGAGCTGATCTGGCAAGCTACAAACCTCCCTGCATGTGAAAGAGGGGGTCAGCAGCTATTCTCCCATCTTGTTGGCAACATTGATTCCCACCTTGAAGTACCAAAAGGTATGTTTTAAAAATATGTTTAGAGGTAACCATTTAAGACTTTGGTTAATGTGGGGAGCAACTCGGACTAGACTAAGTTACTGGAATTAAGACTTACTCTATGCATCTGCTCTCCCACAATATGGCGCTGGGAGAGGAGGAAACAGCTTCTACACAGCTGCCTCTTGCCAACTTGACAAGCTGCAGGAGCTGCTCCTGATTGGAGGAGAGCAGCGTACTCGGCGTGTGGGTAGCAGAGTTGGGATTGGTCGAAGAGGACTATAAAGGAGGAGAGAGACAACATGCACCAGGAACATCTAAGAGGAACACCTGTGCAGCCCCCGAGAGAGCCGGCCGGCGGTGTGCCGCTCCCCCGCGGAAGTGGGGAAAAGCGGCAGGGGGAACCGCCCTTCCACGGAGGTGGAAGGGATGGTAGCCAACCCGGAAAGAACCAGCAGCAAACCCGGGGAGGGCTGAGCAGACAAAAGAACAGCGCAGGGTCCTGTGTCGTTCCTCCACGAAGAGGGGGAGCGACAGGTTAACACGCTGTGTCTTTTGTCAGAGTGACCAGATTCAATTCCCAGCTCCAGTTCCTGACTTACAATTTCATGCTACTGCAGATTCTGGAAGACAATAGATGATGGCTCCAGAAATTAAGTTCCTGCATCCATGTGAGAGATCTGGATTGAGTTCCCAGCTTTAGCCCAGCCCAGCCCTTGCCATTGCAGGCATTTAGGGAGTGAACAAATCAAAGGGGGCTCTAAAACCTCTCCCTCTCTCTCAAATAATATAATTATACATATATAAGTTTATACATACACACACATTTAAAACATGAGAAAGGCCTGCAATCATCAGTCTGACCAATAAAATGACCAAAGGCTTTTGTTTGTATTTAGCCCATTTGTTTTGAGGATCTAACAGTCTAACATAAAAGTGTCAGTATTAAAATTAAATTTCATCTCTGCATCCTCTAAGAAATTGCAACAAAAGTATAGCCGATTCTCAAATTAATTCTCCCATTTGATTCCAGAAATAATTATTTGTTTCCCAAAAGACAAATGAAACTTACGCTTTGAGGACAACCAGAAAGCTGTATCCAATGCACATAATCCCCACCAGAAAATAGGAGAGCGGCAACCTGAAATTCAGCCATCCAATTGTTCGTTTATTGTCATAATAGCCATAAAAGAGGACGGAATATTGTGCCAAGCCCTAAAATCCAACAACAAAGCCGCTTAGCAGATGCTGTGGAGAGCAACTCAAAGGAAAAACATCAACTTTTAAGATGAATAACAAAGTGACATTAATTCTGAAACTTAGGTCATGGCTCTGACATGAGCCCTATTGTTCTGTTCCATAAGTGAATTTTTCAGCTGCAACGCTGATTGGCAGCTTCTTGGTTTATCTGAAATTCAGTAACTTCTAAACATAGAAATTTCTAAACAGACAAAATGTTTGACCAAATATAGGCTTACTCGGCTGTGGAGCCATTACCATGAAGTGCTCATTGACTTAAACATCAGAACACACTTCTTGGTGTCATTTGATTGACAATTTTAAGAACTTGCTTAATATGAGGAAGATCTGAAATTTGCTTCTGCAAAGCGCTGTGGCAGGTTTCCATTTCCAGTCACCTGAGCCATAATCAGATTTGTTCTCCTTAAACCACAGAGGCTATGCCTGAGCTCCCACTGAGCAGAACAGAGAGCAGGAAAGATGACACTGGAATCAATCTGCATAATTTTCTGTTCCCCAAGACTACCACAGAATTCCTCCATAACAAGCATGCTTATTTGCACATTATATTGTCTTTCCTAAACACTGTCTGCCAGGGTTGGCATTACTACCTCCCAAAGCCACCTGAATACCCTTTTATGCAGAATGTTAGCATATTCTGATGCTGCTTCTTATAATATTAATCTTTCACACATTCACCGTGTTTTTCACACTTACCACTGAGGCATGGTTTCATTGCTACATACCCACTTAGCTCCTCTTTGACTTCTCTCTGGCCTTGGCTTAAAATGATCACATTTTGTGAAATTTGTAGGTAATAATCTGCCAATTTGTGGCTTCCTCCTGAGAGCAGGTGAGTCACCCTCGAATTTTAGAAAATTCAGTTTGTTTCCTTTTGTACTATTTATACAATCCTGAGACTCTGAAACCCACTACTGAAGAGAGGAAAAGTGGAGGGTGGGGTGGGGGAGGCCTGGAGCAGGTAGAGAAGAGAATGTCTTGGATGCTAATTCTTAGAGAAAGAATTTAGAGAAGTGACCTAGAAGATTGTGTTAAAGAAAGATCATGCCTAGCTCAAATTATGGTTCAATGAAATTAAAAAAAAAAAACTATCAACTTCAAAATTTGTGGCAAATTTATTTTTTAACACTCTGGAAGAAGTAGCTAGAAATAAAATCTCCAGAAAACTCTAGAGGAGCCTGTGTGCTCAACCAGGGACAGGATAGGATGTGAAGCTTACAGGAAAATGGCTCATCTGGTCCACATCCCTGCACCACCCCTGCCTGTAGCTGCAGCTCAGCTTGTGATGCTCAATCCAGCCGTGGTGGCTCATGTTATGTGTCAATCTGAGTGGTCTTGGTTTGCCAGATGCAACAATTGAGGTGTCTGTGAAAGTGATCCTACATGAGGTTAGCATTTGAATTAGTGAATTCAGTAAAGTCCATGGCCTTTCCAGTGTGGTTGGGCACCATCCAAATCATTGAGCTACTAAACAGAATAGTAAGGAGGAATATATCCCTTTTCTTCCAGCCTCACTTGGGGTAGGACATCACAGCTCGTTTGTTCCTGCCACCAGACATGGGCTTACACCACTGACTTTCCTGCTGCTCAGAACTTCAGACTCAGACTTCATCATATCCCTGGCTTCCCTGGGTCTCCAACTTACAGACAGCAACAATGGGATAGCTTAGCTTCCATAATTCTATGAGTCAATTCCTCAAAATCTCTCTCTCTCTTCTCTCTCTCTCTCTTTCCCCTACTTCTTGCTCTCTCTCATATATATAGTATATATACTCACACAGATATGGATATATAGATACATATACATATATAATATATAACACAAAGTATTATATTTATATATCTTATATAATAAATCTGTTCTTTATATTTATTTATAAATTATATAATAGAATTTACATGTGTAACAACTATACACAAATTCTGTAATTTTCCAAATATTATATGCATACATATACTATATGTCCTATTGGCTATGTTTCTCTGGAAAATTCTGACTAATACACAACCCAAAACAAAAAATGGTGCTAAACAACCAGGGGAAGCTTCAAACAGTGGGAATAGGCAGGCCAATCTCATTCCAGAATAAAGAACCAGATCGATTCTGATTGGATTGGCCAACTTTCTCCATCCCAGGAGGAAATGCTTTGGTGGGATTTCCCAGTTTCTAGTTTGATAATATAATCTTGTTTCTTATCCATCTGGTTGGGGTCTCTACTTCCTCTCAGTTGTATTGTAGCCACATCCAATCTTCTTCTACTCTTTATTAACTTTCACGCAGGTCCCTCTGTCTCAGCATGGCAATAACAAAACCTCATTGGTTTAAAGGTTATGTGATGGTTTGGATATGCTTTGAGTGTACCTCCCAGAGGTTCATGTGCTGTAAGTTTGGTCCCCAATGCAGTAATGTTGAGAGGCAGAGGAACCTTTAAGAGTAGGACCTAGAGGGAGATAATCAGGTCATTGGGGTCATCATCTTTAGCAGAGATTAATGTAGTTTTACGGAATCCTACTTAGTTCCCACAAAGTGTGAGTTGCTATAAAAATGGTGAGCCTCAGCCCTGAGCCTCTATGGCATCCTGTCTCATCATGTAATCTTCTGCACACATTACTGCCATTGTGATGCCACCCGTCATCCCTCACCAGTGGCTAAGCAATGAAACCACCCAATCTTGGAACTTCAGCCTCCAAAACCATGAGTTAAGCAAATCTCTTTTCTTTATAAACTACCCAGCTTAAGGTATTTTGTTATGGCAACATAAATCAAAGAGAAGTTATACCCTGAATTGTTTATTATTCTTTTCCCAATGGACAACACATAATTTTCCAAACCTCTCTGTTTTTCAGAGCAAAGACTCTTTAACCCATTTACTTGCCACAATCCTGATATATGGTGATAATGGTCGCAGTAATATAAATTAATAAATTTGGGCAAATATTGAGCACTTTCTAAGTACTTCACTTCAGTTTACAGAATCATCACAAGAACCCTATGATGTTACTACTGCCAGGGGTCACCCTTCTCCCTGACCTTTGATGTTTCTTTCCTGTGGAAAAGATACATAAATGTAATACTCTCAACCATTTTCTGCTGTCTCACTCCAGCTGGAGGGGAGAGAAACTAACCTGAGAGTAGAACACAGATGAGGAAGTGAGGATCTCTCTTTCTCCTCTTAAAAGAGCACTTGCTGTGCTGTGCCTCTGTACAGGGAGTCCTGTCCTGGTAGAGAGATCTGGTTGTTAAGTTCATGAAGAGATGTCACATTCTTTAATGTCCACTTAACAATAATAAAGGGACATGTTGATCTCTGTCTTCCCCTGGGTTTAGATTTTGGCTAGCTTACAATCTGTCTAGACAAGGAAGGTGTTATTTATCGGGATCACACCAACCCAACCCATAATACATACACAATGATTTGATAGCTACCATCCCTATATCTACTTTACAGATAAAGAAACTGAGCCTTAGGGATGTTAAGTAATTTGCTCAAGTTCACACAGCTTGTAAAAGACAGAGTCTGAACTTGAACTGTGTCTGTACAATTCAAATCCCATATACTTCATCACTGTGCTTTATTGCTTCTCCTGTGCTTTCTTTATCTCCCAAGGTTTGTATCTTGTTAGTGCCACACCTTCCAGCAAAAGGAAGAAATCTAAAACCCTGCCAACTCATGGACTTTGATCTCTACCCATGGGTTTCTCCCTGGTGGTGCCAGGGTCTCTTGGAAAGGATTCTGGACATGCCATTAGAAAAAGTTTCATAAGGCCTCATCACCATATCCATAATTGGTAAAACATGCACTTTCCCTAACTCATTGTTACAGTACTAGAATTGAAAGTCACCCCTTAAAGAGCATGCAAGGAGAAAAGGGATGCATAGTGAGCATCTGGCATGCCTCTTGCGTTAGCACAACAGCTACTGGGGGCAGCTAGCTCATCTGGGATCTGCACCATTCAACATATGTTCAAGGGCTGCTGTTTCATAAATATTAGATCAGAACCAAAGCAGAAAAGGGTTTTGGGTTTTTGAGGGGAGGGGAATTCTGATAATCTCACAAGCATTTGTCCCACTTGCCTATTTGTTATATACATGAAATGTGTAAATGAAGTGTGTGAAGGGATCACCAAAGAGCACAATTTTAAAAAGCATTATCAAACCCAGCTTAGTAGCGTTGAAGGATAACTTTAAATAAATACAAGCTGAAAGGTTTAGAAGGGAAATGCCCTTCCCCCTTTCGTCTAGAGGGCATGTGACACTCCACACATCCTTCCCTTAAAACTATAGCAGCAGACATCTGGAAGTGACTAAAATAGCAATGACTCCTAGCCTAGCCAAGGTTCTATTCAGTTTCCATGTCAGCGCGCCCTGCTTTCCCTGTGGGAGCCCTCTCCCACCCTAAAATCTGACAGAGAAACCAGAGCCAGAGCCAAGTTTCGAATGAGCACAGAAAATTCCTATCCAGTTATAGGGTTCCATGCTTGCGTGTCATCTATTAAAACTCTATTTCTTTTCAAGTGCTGCAGCTGGACTAATCCATAGTCGTTGACCCACTTCTAAAAGAAAGAAAATGTTTTGATTATGTGGTCATTACAATCAACCCATGCATTTATTTATCTAACTGACACTTAAAGAGAACTTAACTATTTACTAATACTGTGCATGCATGGAATGAGCCTAGATTATAGAAGACTGCAAAAGAGTTACACATTCAAAATATCCATTTCAAAAGTACTCATTCCCAGAAATTATATTATAACTCCATCCCTTTGGGATTTCTCTTGATTACCAACAAATACAGCAAAAGATAACACTCTATCCCCAGGATAGTAAATGAGTTTCTTGATCTTTAGCAACTCTTTTTAATTTGTAGTAACTGTCATACTATTATTTTGGGGAAAATCATCAAGTCAAAACCAGTGGAAAAAGAAAATACAGTTTACGAAGTATGTCCATT